TTGCTTTCATCTATACTTTTATCAAGGATGGCTTTAGTTTTTAACTGGATGTATGGATTGTGCATATGAATCTAGGGTTTAGGGATGTTTTATTTTCCGAACACAGTCAGCACATTGAGGATGAAATGTGTCAGCTAAGTTTCTCTTTTGTCTATATTCATATTGTCTTTTACAAATATAGTTTTAGTTATATCTAAAATTTTACACACATACACATATATAAATATCAGTTTAAAAAAGTAATTAACAAACTAATTTTCAGTAGTTTTGCTAGAAGATGATACACATATAAAAGCCAAATTTTTAGACTTGACATAGACATCAGGGAGTAATTTTAATGAAAAGAAACTCCTAACTTCAAACATGAAAAATACTTTTTTGATTCTACCTGTGTTTGATAAAATAGGTTTTCATTGTGCAGTGCTTTCAACAGATGAAGCATACATCATTGTCTAATGTTTTTTCAGTGGTTGATATAGAAATTCTTAGCACAGACTAGTTTATTATATCATTTACAAGTCAATTTGTGTCACCAAGAATGATAGCAGTAATGGCACATTTGACATTTTATAAGTAAAATGAAATTACAATGTTACTATTCATTTAATTGTGAATGAAAATAATCTAAGATATAATAATATAATTCTAGCAGTTGAATTTAAAATAACCAAAACTTTCTATATGCTTTTTTGTACAGACCAGAATGCTCATCTTATTTATCATATTGTATACTCCAATATTTTTCAAATATATTTGGTAACTTTCTGAAAATTTTAAACCAAATTGTTTATTCAATCTATTGAGGTAGCATGAGAAGTGGAATGAGAACAGTTTATCTTTGTAGATTGAATAAAGTGTTTGGCTAAAATTCTGAGATTATTACTGAGTATAAGATACAACTGGATACACCAGAGGGTACAAAAGCCAAAATGTTGTGAGCATAAACATCTTTGTCTGAATAAAAATGACAATGCCACCCACTCAAAAAATTTTAACATAAATAAACAAAATAATTCTATTTCCACATTCATTAGAGTAGTTCAATTAACAGAGATGAGAAATTCCCCCATTTTTATTTAATGGCCTTCTTCAACTGTAGTCTAAGGAAGAAGGAGGAGTTCTCTTTGTTAATTCAAAACAGAAAAAGGTAAAAAATCATAATAATGTAAATATTAGGCATTCCATATTTTATATATGAGATTGTTCTGAATGCATTCCTTAATGAGCAAATAAATCTACATAAGCCTGACTTATACATTTACTTACAATATATGTTGCTTTTTTTTCATCACTCTCACCTTCCAGCAATGTTCTGTATCTGACTTGTATTTGGAACTTATCCCAGAAGGAGGAGAGTGATTCCTTATCTCTCTTGATGTAGTCTGCCATACCAGATTTTTCTACTTTACCTTTTCGTACGGCTTCTCTATATTTCATGAATCTGACTTTTACACTAGCCGCAAGATAAGTTCCAAGTAGGGAGAATCGCTGATGAGTGAGAAAATTAGCAGACGCTTTATACATTATCATTGCAGATCATTGTATATGTCGGATGAGTGTGAAGTTCTTTGTTTGATAAGAAAAAGATCAGAAAACAATTCCATATAAACATATTGAAGCACTTATGTTATTTTTTTAATAATTTCACCCCAAGCAAGGTAATAAAGCCACTAAGATGCAAATCTGTGTGAGTGTGAGAGAAGATAAGAAACCTGAAGCAAGGCAATAAAGCCACTGACATGCAAAGTGTTACTGAGCATGAGAAAATATGAAAAAATAAACTCTATTAAGGAGAGAGAACAATAAAAGAACAGGAATTAAGAACACAGAAGATAATTGCATTTAGATTTTTGAGGATTAAAGTTGACTGGAAAGCAAGAAACTGGAAGAGAGTTCCACCAGAAAGAAGTGTGAGAGAAGAAACTGTTAACATAGAACTTATGTTTACATCTAGTCATTTCCAATGTAAATTCTATGAAATAATGGGATGGTTGGCATGATCAATATATTTGCCACCATTTATCTTCTGTTTTAATAGTTTTCACTGGAAAAGTGATAAGTGGTACATTTTTTTATGTTGATCATCATAGTTCTCTACAACTTTCTATCCTTTGCAGCTCTTAACAAAATGTGGTGTTTTATTATCCTTCCAACTCCCAATTCTGTCATCCATTGATACAAGCTTGTTAGGTAGATCACTCACTGTTTTTCCTTTGTTTTTTTTTTGCCCCTAATATGTCATGTGAGTGTCAAATTCTCTTCATTATGTCTCCCAGAAATTTCAACTGTCTCATTCTGATTGTAAGTATAAGTGTTCTTGTTTTACTTAAAAACTTCCTTCTTACTTACATATTCTATCCAAGGTATTCTCAACATTCATCATTAGAACCATATCTTTGAGGTTTCACATTTCTTCTTCATCTGTAAGGAAATTGTCAAGCATTCACTGCCATAAGAAGGCTAGAGAATGGATCAGCTGAAACTTTATAAAACAGTACACACACACACACACACACACACACACACACACACACACACACACACACACTTTGAGAGATCAAATAAAATTTGGAATTCTATTTACTCTTATATGTCTTAATTTGATTAATGGTAATTAGCTGTTTCCTTATAAATAAACATTTGATATTCACTGACCAAGCTGCCAGTGCAATTGTCACTTGAAATTTATAGAATCTTTCTCTTTTTCAGGAAAACAGGTTTCTTAAATCCAGTAGCTGTTATTATATTTTCCAGTATTGAGTGGGTTTCCTTCCCAACCTTCTATTTGAAGTAATACTGAATGTTAGCATCTTGATTATGTTATTCTTTTTCTTCAAGTTGTGATATCCAATTTAGTTGTTGCTGCTGTTGAAAGTTCTAAAATGATGTGGTTTCTGTTATTTGGTAGAGTTCTTTGTTTATGATTCTGTAGCACCAGTTCACAATTCTCAAAGGAGATCCACAGGCTTCATTTTCTCAAAGCCATTTTTAACCACTGCTCTTAGAAAATTGTTGTATACAGCTGACAGTTTATATATTTTAGAAGAAGCTTGGTAGCATGCATGACATGGATATGAATGTCTCCATAATTTTGTTTTTATTAAATTGTGATTGCATTCATTAAAAAACATTGTTTTCTAAGAACTTGTCAAATGCTAAAAAGATATTTCCTTAGAGTTTTAAAAATGGCATCCTTTTAGACTCCAAACTACACCTTGAATGCATCCATTAAAAATGGTTGTTTCTTTAGATCTTTAAAAAATAGCATCCATTTATTGCTTCTTAGACTCTAAATATATAATTTCTCAAAATTCATATGTAACAAAAGCAGCTGAAAGAAATCCCCATTGACATGACTTAGTTTTCTAAAAGTCTCACATATACATCTACTTTCAGTTTTCTTACTTTGTTACTCTCAAATAAGGCACCCTATTGCTTTGCCCTTTGTGTTATTCTGAGGTCTCACTTAATGTCTTGGTTTGAGTTGCCATCATTCTTTGGTTTGTGCTTCTAAGATAAAAATACCCTCATTCTATGTATATGGATTGTTAAAGGTAAACATTATCTTACCTGATACTGCATCTTTGTATATAAGAACTAGATAATACTTTTAGCTGTTTTTTTTTTTTTGTGAGAAGAATTGTCTGTGATCAGGTGTATTGTCTGCGATCAGGTAAGTAGTTTTAATAAAATAGATTCAATACATTGTGATTTCAGGCATATTTTTAAAATGGTAAAGTTATGGGTACTTTTGATTGAGCCTAACAGTGATCAAATATATTTAAAAAATATATTCACCCATAATCTGATGGATAAAAAAAGATTGCCATTTATTGCTTCTCAGGCTCTAAATAATTCATGAAATTCCTCAAAATTCAGATGTAACAAATACAACTGAAAAATATCCCCATACAGCAGTGAAAAGGTTAAAGGCAAATTTTCCCATCTGGGAGAAAAATCATATTCAGCATGATCATTCACATTTGGAAATTTATCTTAAAATAGTGAAAAATGAATATAAATGAAAAAAAAAGCTGAAAAAATATATTCAATTCAATTGAAACAATAGACAAACAAATTAATTCTTTATTCATAATGAATTAACTTTAAATTAACACAATTTTTTATTAAAAAATGTTGGGAGAATTGTTAAATTACATCTTTCAATCAACATTTACAAATGTCAATAAATATCTGAAAAAGTTTTAATTTCCAATTGAAAATGTATGTATCTATCTATATATGTATAAATCAATTAATCAGCAAATTATTGATGGAATAAGCATTTAATTTATATAATAAATACTTTTTAACTTAAATGCATAGACAAAGAAGGGGAGAACTTCATGGTTTTCCTTAAATCAAATACCTCAAACATTATACAGTGACAATTTCAGATCAAGTTCATTCTTTATAACCACATCAGTACAGATGCAAAAGAGGTTCTGGGTCATGTGCAGAAGTTATTACAATTCAAAGATAATAAAGAAATGAAATCTCTGGAGAACCATGATCATATACATCCTGAAGAAACATGGAATTTTAGGTAGGTTAGGTACAGGTTTTGGTAGTGTACATCTTGGTATGCAGTAACTTACAATACCTCAATAAAAATATGTGCGTTTGGTCTTGCATGCTAACAAATATGGTACTTTCATTATTTGATTTTTAATGAGGACCTTCATCTTTTTGTTACTTTTAATCATCATGATTTTGGTAATTCTAAAATTATAAATTGTATTGAAGCATAAAGAATAAAATTTGATGAAAGTGATAAAAAGCAACTAAAAGATGAAGATACACATAAAAAATAAGTGACTTTTATAACAGTCATTCAGAAATATTATGAATTTGAAATTGATGAGTATTTCAATCTAATTGGTGAAACACTTTAGAGTTTCAAATCTCAGTTTTGAGTCTTGGATTGATTGTAATTTATTTTCTATTCTTTCCAAAAATTATTAATAAATCTTTATTTTTCTTTCTTTTTTTCATTTTAGATTCAAGCAATTATGCACACTATGTATTTAATGCATTTGACCACGATCACAGCGGCTCTGTCAATTTTGAGGTAAGTTGTTTATTTTTCCCAAATTAATATTTATATGCCAAGTAAGATATTAATGGTGGTACCCCATTATATGCATTAGTATATCCATGACTATATAGTACATACTAACACCTTAATATAATAGAAAAAAAGGAATGACAAACATGCATTGTTACCAAAAAATATTTTTTTATACCACTATGTCATACAAGGAATTATATATATATATATATATATATATATATATATATATATATATATATATATATATATATATATATATATACATACTTTTCCAGTGTCTGGTTTTTTAGTTTTAGGTCAATGAATCTGTGGACGATTTATGCAACTGATAATAACACATATTTAACTGTATCTCACTCATTTAAACTGTTATAAACTTCTCTCTTTCAAATTTTAATCCCCTCTCACCTTAAGGCCTTCCCTTTTTTTTCTTTCTCTCTCTAGAGCTTTCATACATTTCCCTCTCACCCTTATTTCTCGTTCACATACATACACTTTCACTGAAATTTTGTTTTTTTTATACTCAGAGATATATTTTCTGTTTTCTTTTTGAATTTGTAAGTCTGATGAATTGGATCATGATTATGATTCCAATGTAATAAATTATACCTATGGAATATTAGTGTTTGAGCCTTATATATATATATATATATATATATATATATAAAGGGGAAAAAGTGAGAGGGTCTTACTCGTAATATTTCCTGATGGAAAAAAGCCAGGACAATGGTGGCCACTATGTTCTTGGTGGTATCATCTAAGTTCCCCTGCAGGCTTGATGATATCTACCACAGCAATTGTGATTTGTCACCCTACAAGTTGACGTTACATGACCCTAGTGCAGAGATGGCAAACCTTCATAGTTGATGAGTCATTTTTGGTGCTTTTAAATTTTTCATAAACATAAAAGTGGTCACTCATATACTTACTGACAGGTTTTTTTTTAATGAGAAACTTCTTGCTGCATCTTAGTTGCTTATGTTTTGAGGTTCATACTTTATTCTCTTCAGCTTAACATGTGTAGCAATCATATCCACATAAAGGAAATGCCTCTTTCATATAGTTCATGATAAGACATATTTCATGACATCATTTCACTGACTACTTGTGGCTCACTAAAAAGTTGATGCTGGGTCAGTTCATAACACCACAGGTCAGTCGTTCACCATCTCTGCCCTAGTGCATTCATCTTATCCAAAGGGAGATAATTACCTTTTTGCATCCCTAAAATATGATACCTATTCATTTTTGTTGATTCTTTTTGAAGTGCTAGCATTCAGATTTGGGAAATATATTTATCTTTAGAGAATAAAAATTACTTTGAAAGCTGACCAAATTTGAATGAAATAAGAAGAAATTTCAGAAGATATAAAATCATATTATGCTGCTTTATAAAGCAGCATATATTATATCTAATTATAAGGACCAAATTTTTAAGCAACAACTAATGCTTGATCTTGTTTAATTTTTTGTTAGAGTCTATGCATTATGAGGAGGGAAAAGAGAATGTGTAGTATTACCAGGGAACTTCTCTAAATATCTGATAGGTAGTAAGCAGTATAAAAACTCTCCCCAAACCTCAAGTGGAACTTATATATACAATGTATTGCTAAAGATGCTGGAAGAATGGTTGTTTCATTGTCCTGCTCTAATAAGTATCTGACACTCTCTGTTATACTCTATCTTTACAAGAGCCAGATTAGACCAAAAATGGAGTATTGCTGTCACATTTGGGCTGGAGGTGCCCAGTCCTTACTTGCCTGTATTGACAGACTACAAAATCATCTATGCAAACTTGTGGGTGATGATTCATTTTCCATCCTCCAACCCATTTCTCACAGAATGTTGTAAGGCTCTCATTGCTCTATTACTATTTCTATAGTCTGTATTCTGATGAGGTACATTCCTTCGACCTACCAGCCTGGACTTTTACAACTGAGACTCACCATGCCTCATATACAAGAGTGAATCATTCCTATTCCTATCATATTCCATGAGTAAGAAATAAATTCCACAGTACAAGCTTCTTTGAAAGAACTGTTGCTTTGTGAAACAGACTCCTAGCAGGATGTTTTCCTAATTACTACAATCTTGACATATAGTGTTAATTATTACTGTTGTAACCTAGAGAAGGTTATGAATAGAATAATCACATGAAGGTAGGTAATGAATGATAATACTTAGGACAAGAACAACATATATAAGATTGCCATGGTGTGTAGAAGTAGTAGTTAACTGTGAGAAATGAGTCAAGTTAATTTCACAATGAATCTCCAAGTGCAGACCAACATACAGTATTTACTACTGTATTAATGTGAATGGGAACATACCCATTATCGTCCGTAGGTATGCTACAACAATTACATAACCACATGAACTTCATTACTGGCCTTTTCTTATTCTTGAGCAATGCCACACAGTAGTATTCTGCCTTGAGTAGCCTGTGGGCCTTGTATTGTATGAACATTAGTAATAAAAATAAAAAAAAAATGAAAGGACTCACACACTCTTCCATTTATTTGCTCTCTTAACCACAAGATGTAGTGGTAACAAGACATGTTTCATTTTTCCTGCCAGGGAGACTGAGAATCAGCTGGGTTTCAACTGAACAATGTAAGGCAGTAAGACAGACACATTCAGCTGAGTTTCAACTGAACCATGTAAGGCAGTAAGACAGACACACTCAGCTAATCAGATGAATGTTTTCTTTCCTTTTTCTGAGCTATTTCTATCTGTATAAACAAAAATTAATTTTTCTCTCTTTTTTGATTATGCTGTTCTTTGTATAAATGGCTGGATGCTCATGTCTGAGTATTGCTGTCTACTAGAGTGGCTAGTCAATCCCTGTTGCAGACACCTTTTCAGGCACATTTATATTTATTCAACACCCATGGAGCCCACCTGATGCCTGTAAATTCTATGAATTATTAAGAATCTTAATAACATTGTAAATATTTTATTTTTGATGCTTTCATAAGATTTATTAGTTTTACCTGTCATATGATGGTCACTGAATGCAATGGATTTGTTTATGCATTTTCAAATGCAATCAGGACAATCTTTGATTGTGTCAGCAATTTGTGCTCTCAGAGATGCATAAGAAAACGATGAATTATATGATATAGTGTTATCTTTGAAGTTTCATGGTTTATGGCTTCAGGCCACTCATTAATTTCTGCAAATATGAAGGGAAATTTAGCTGATGCTTTAATAAAACTTTACCCTTGTGACAATAATTATTAAATTGCTAATCTGTTGATTGAACCACATTACCGAGAATGTCTATTTTTCCACAACTTTGTTGCTGATGATCACTTTATTGAAATGTACTCTTTGGGACCAAATACAAGTGCAGTCTGGAATAGTCATGCTGGTGGGAATTTTTCAAATTATAAAATAAACATTCTGCCAGGAATTTTTATTTAATAACCGTAGAACAAAATAATCAAGATGCAGAGATAATTATTTGAAAAATAATTCATAATAATCACCTGTTTTCATTATGCCATTAACTCTTACAAAACATTCTGTTTCTTTTGCAGGGTAAAAAAAAGCCCTAAAATATGATCTCTTTATACCCAGGAACAGAGTTTTTGTGATTAAAAGCCTCAAATTGATATTTCCAAAAATATTTTTCTCATCTGACCATAGTATATTCTTCCAGAATAAGTTTATCATCTTGTTTGTGTATATGTGGGTGGTGTAATGGATTGTGGCTTGGAATGAGAAATCAGATATCCAATTTTTAATTCCAGTAACAATTTTTTGCATTTACTTACATGCAAACACTCTTGGGAAAGGTATGAATTAATCATCTCTCTCCTGCTATGGGTTAAACAGTAGGTCTTGTATCTATAAAAATCATTGTTATTCTTAAAATATTTTTAATGAAATATTCATTTACAAAAGAAATCTATTCTTATAATCCAATATATGTTTGAGCTTTAAATAATTCACAAAGGGTTGAGAAAGAAACAAACAATATAAATCTGTTCATTTGTAAATGCTGTAAGCAAAAAGCACACATATGAGAAACAGATAAAATTTCTCAGGCACATAATGAAGAAAGAAGGCTTAGAGAATTTGACACTCACATGATGTATTAAAGGCAAGAGGGAGAGAGGAAAGCAGCAAATAACCAACCTAACAAGCTTGTGTAAATGGTTGGCAGAACAGGAGGGATAGCAAAAAGACAAAACTTACTAAGAGCTACAAAATACAAAAAGATGTAGAGAGCCATGATTGCCTACATTCTGAAGAGAAATGGCACATATTTAAACGGATGTTTTTAGAAAAGGGTCGACTCACTTGTAGGCCAGTATTGTTTAGGGCTCTGTTTATAGTATTTGTTGTTGCTTTCGCTCCAGTGGTTTCAAAATTATTCTTGAAATTCTTAAATGTAATTATTTGGATTATTTTCAGTAATTCTTAAAATATTACATTCTACTCTGCCAGAAAATTTCTTTTTCCTACCAGGTTCAGTATATTTTTTAGACTATAATTACTCTCTGGAACTTTAGAATGATGTTTTGAGCACTTGATTTATGGATAATAAATGCCATCATATCTACTACTTGATTTCTAGGACCAATTAATGCTGGTTTTAATTTAATTTCTAAACTATGTTCAGAGGTTTTCATCATTATTCAGATATAAGGCCAGGGCCGGTGCATACTATATCCAAGTTGCCTGACCTAGGGTTGGGCCCAAGACTATTTGGTGTCCCTCACTATCTTATCAACATTTGGTTTTTTTCTACCGATATTTAGAGATGTTACAAATTAAACTAAGCACAACTAACTATTAACGGATGAAACATTTTAATGGATTTTGATGTAATTATGGGGTCTATATTTTTCATCTGAATACGCGAAATTATTTTGCTCATGACAAGTCTCAAAAATAAAAAAAACACTATATAAAATTCACTATTTTTATCCATAATGTTGAATGAGTTAAAATTATTAAACAAGAAAAATCTCAAGTTGATTTTAAAA